GGGGGTCGCCCTTCACCTTGAGGGGTATGGGGAGTGGCGGCCCCTGGCTTGGGTGCAGCATGTGGGGAAAGAGAGAAAATCCAGCCACAGCGGGGTTGTGTGTGTGTGGTGGTGGGGAAAACAAGTGGGGACTCTAGAACCCCCTTTCCCAAGCCCCACCCCTCCCCTAGAAAGCTGGGGAGCAGGAGGAGGAGGAGGAGGAAGTGGAAGAGAAGAAGCCTGACCCCCTGCACCAGCTGGTCCTACACTTCAGCCGCACTGCCCTGACTGAAAAGAGGTGAGGACCGCCCCCACCTCGGTCCTGGGGAAGGAATCTCTTCCTCCCCGCCCCTAGCAACCGCCCTGCTCCTCGAGGCAGACCCTGTGTGTCCTAGGGGAGCCCCACAGCCCATCCTTCCATGTCACTTTACGAGGACAGGCAGGGCCACCGTGGACCATTTTGCAGGCTGAGCACTTCACGAGGGCATCGCTTCTGAAGAGTTCACATCCTAGGCAATATCGGTGTAGGCTTGTCTGGATGAAAGTGTCTTGCTCAGACAAAATCAGTAAGTTACGAGAAAGAAATCAGCACGTCATAACAAATTTCCCATAGATGAAAAAAAGGAGAAGAGGGCTTTTTCTGATGCACACAAAAGCTTTGTACAGGCTAATGACAGTCTTGGGACTAAAACAAGGGTGCTGCTGGGAACAGTAGTAACAGGCAACATTTATCAAGTGCTTATTATGTGTTCGGCCCTGTGCTGGGCCCCTGACGTATCTACTCTCTCACTTAATCTTCGCACTACGAGACGGATACCACCGTCAGTTCCTTTTTGTGGATAAGGAAATAGAGGCATAGGGATTTATGTTTCACACATCCACGAAGTCAGGAGGGAGAAAGTCCAGGGCTGGGCGGCGGCACGATGGCAGATGGGGACCCGGGCTCTGTCCGGGCTTTCCGCCCTGCCATTCCGACCTTTTGTCCTGTGGTCAGAAGATGGATCGCTGAACTTCCAGACACGACCACATGCCAGGCAGAAAGAAAGAGAGAGCCTTTTTTTCCCTCTGAGCAAAATCAAGACCTTTTTTATCCAAGAAAAGGCGCTCTCCTTGGTGGGCTTCTGTACATCTCTCATCTGCCAGAATTCTGACATCGGGCCACCACCAGCTACACGGGACACTGGGACACTGAGCGTCCTGTTTTCCATCCTTTGGAAAGCCATGACTCTGGAGTTATTTATCCAGGGTTGAATCGCGGTACAAGCTGTGTGGCTTGGCCAAGAAGGATCTTTGTGCATCTGTAAAATGAGGCTAGTAGTATCTACCTAATAGGATTATTGTGAGGATTAATTTGTTAATACATAGATAAAGCACTTAGAACAGGGACTAACTTAGAGTAAATATTCAATGGGTGTGGGCCGTTACTACTACTACTACTACTATTATGATGATGATGATGATGATGATGATGATGATGATGATTTTTGCTGAGGAGACCCAAGAAGGTCATAGTGGTCAAATGAACCAACAGGTGGCAAAATGGCCCTAGAAGCTCCAGGTGTCCATCACATCATTTTGGCAACCCCAGTGGAAAGGGAGCACATCTACCAATAGTTCCAGCAACACTCCCAGAACGAGTTCCAGTGGACCAGCACGAATCCCATAACCATCTCGTATCTATTTATTACGGTGGCCAAGCAGATCGAAAATGCCAACTGGCTCATCCTCAGTCACACGCCCACTCTGGCCGTGGATAGTCTCTCCCACCCAAACCACACAGCCTGAGCGTGGCTCTCCAAAGGAAAACCGGAAGCTGTTATGAGATGGGGGCCCTCTCCACCAGGTCCTGACTCTCTCCTCCCTTACTTCCTCAGCAAACTGGACGAGGATTACCTGTATATGGCGTATGCCGACATCATGGCAAAGGTGAGGCCCTGCCCCCATCCCCCAGGCCAGGCTCCCTTCTCCCCAGCTGCAGTGCCTGTCCACTGACAGGGCTGGGGGTGAACTGGGGTGTCTGCCCTGTTCACCGCCATCCCTAACTGATGCCCCATCCCCAGAGCTGCCACTTGGAGGAGGGAGGGGAGAACGGCGAAGCCGAAGAAGAGGAAGTTGAGGTTTCCTTTGAGGTAGGTGGGATCAGGAGGTCCCTGAGAAAAGGGATAAGGGACCCTGCCTTCGGTCATTCCTCATTCATTCAGCCTGTGTTCACAGAGTAGTGCTCTGGGCCCAGCCCTGTGCTAGGTGATGTTGGGGACACGGCAATGACTCAGTTTACTGGCAAGACAGACACATCGAGCAGACAGCAACAATATTCATGGTGGTGATGAGGGAAGCTCCAGGCAGAGGGGTCAGGGTCGGGGAATCCAAAGAAGCTCAGGGAGACATGGGGGGGGGGGAGTTTAGGGGACTGTGGAAGCCCAAGCAAGGTGCCTGACCCACCCTGTGGGGGAAGGGTGTCAGGGAGGGCTTCTCGGAGGAGAGGATGTCTGAGCAGGAGGATAAAAGGAGTGTGCCAGATGAAGAAAAGGAGAAAGGTGTTTCAGATCGGGGGAACAGCATGTGCAAAGGCCAGGCAGTGAGAAAGAGCTGGTAAACACGCAGCTGACCCATCCATTCATCATTAAGGCAGTCAGTAAGCATTTCCCCGAGTTTCTTAACCGTTTTTCTGCCAGGGTCCCTTTTGGCATCTGGTGAAGCCTCTCTTAGAAGTATGTTTTTAAATGTATAAAATGAATTCATAGCAGAGGAAACAAGCATATTGAAAGAACCATCAAAATATTGTTTCAAAAATTGTAAGACAGTCATAACTGCCTTTAGGGTTAGGGTTAGGCATCCTTCAAATGACACGATTTCACAGTGGGGCCAGTAGCTACAGTAACTGATGAGTAATGAACATAAGCAGTGTTTTAAGATGGCTGCAAAAATAACGCGGCATGGAAACATCTGTGGTTCTTCTTGGTGACAAAACCAGGGGTTCTAATATTGCTATGATTTATAATGGAAGGAAATGCTCCGTTTCAGTCAGAGGGCAGTAAACACAAAAATATAATTTTTCCCCTGTTCAGGGCCCCCTTGGGGGTCCACGTGTGGGTCCAGGTTAAGATTGCTCCGTGTCTGGCCCCGCACTGAGCACAAGAGACAAATCGTGGACTTCAGTCCCAGGGGATAGAGGGAGTTCACAATTAAAGAAATGAGGTGTGGGGATGCCTGGGTGGCTCAGTCGGTTAAGTGTCTGACTTCGGCTCAGGTCATGATCTCGCGGTTCTGTGAGTTCGAGCCCTCACCTCGGGCTCTCTGCTGGCAGCTTGGAGCCTGCTCCAGATCCTCTGTCTCCCTCTCTGCCCTTCCCCAGCTTGCGCATGCGCTCTCTCTCTCACATTTTAACAAACGTTTTAAAAATTAAAAAAAAAAAAAAAGAAAAGAAATTAGGTGTGGTTGGAGCAGGGAGGGTCAGGGTGAGGGATGAGGCTGTGAGGGGGAAAGGCTGGCTGGTGAGCCTGGACTCACTAGGCGCCGCGGGCCTGGCTCTGCCGCAGGAGAAAGAGATGGAGAAGCAGAGGCTCCTGTACCAGCAGGCGCGGCTGCACAACCGGGGAGCCGCGGAGATGGTGCTCCAGATGATCAGCGCCTGCAAAGGTGCCCTCGTGCAGGCCCTCCTCCCGAGCACACGCATCCTGTCCCCACTCCCCGGGGACCCCGGGGCACCCTCGCCCACCCCGCATGCCTGTGCTTTGCACGCCAGCGCTCACACATTCCACTTGCCTCGCGATGTCTCACCCGTCCCTCGCCCTGGCATGCTACTCCCCCCGCCCCCCCACTTCTCCCACGTACCCTGGGATGGCTGTTTTCTGGTGGGTGGAGAACAGTGCTCTCAAACTGAGTGGACCCTCTTATGCGACCCTCCGTCCCCCCCGCAGGAGAGACGGGCGCCATGGTGTCCTCCACCCTGAAGCTGGGCATCTCCATCCTAAATGGAGGCAATGCTGATGTGCAACAGGTAACAGGAGAAGGGACTTGGGAAGAGGATCTAAGAGGGGTGGGAGGTTCCTGTGTGACTCCCAGCTCCTCCTCCCCGCCCACCCCTTCTGTAGAAAATGCTGGATTATCTGAAGGACAAGAAGGAAGTTGGCTTCTTCCAGAGTATCCAGGCGCTGATGCAAACATGCAGGTAGGGTCTAGGGGACATCTTTCAGTCACGCTCTTTGCGGTTGCTGTGCCCCCACTCGGTACCGCCGCCAGGAACAGAGGCCCACTCAAACTAGCTCAAATACCAGGGAGCTGATTATCATAACAATAGTGAGAGGCTTTAAGAATGAACAGTTGGAGGGGCTCCTGGGTGGCTCAGTCGGTTAAGCATCCAACTTCAGTGTGGGTCATGATCTTGGTTTCATGACTCTTGGTTTCAGCTCAAGTCATGATCTCACAGTTGCTAGGTTCGAGGCCCGCATCGGGTTGACAGTGCAGAGCCTGCTGGGGATTCTTTCTCTCCCTCTCTCTCTGCCTCTCCCCTCCTCATGCTGTGTCTCTCTCTCAAAATAAATAAGTAAACTTCAAAAAAAAAAAAAAAATGAATGAACAGCTGAAGCCGAAAGCTTGTAGAGAATTCAAGGGGCACTGAAGCAGCAGGGAACTGGGGCTCTCTCTGATGACCCCTATTAACTTGACTACTACCTCTGCCTTTGTTCTCCTCTGGCAACTGACTCCTCCCCTCCCCCACCAGCTTTGCTAATTGAGGGTTTCTGTTTCCTCCCGATTTCAACTTGTGCATATTTCATCCTGGCCCCGCCTTACTTGTGAGCTGCGGCCACATGGCTTCTTCCAGTTCTGTTTCTGCTTCCTCTCGATGATTTCAGCTCATTCCTGGTTTACTGTGGCCCTCGCTCGACTCGCTAACGGCAGGGTGGGGTGGGGGTGGGGGCGTTGCAGGGCTCTGAAAGAGGGCAGAGGCCTCAGCCCATCTTCCCCATCTTTCCTTCCACCTCCCCCGCCCCTCGCACAGCGTCCTGGATCTCAACGCCTTCGAGAGACAGAACAAGGCAGAGGGGCTGGGCATGGTGAACGAGGATGGAACCGGTGAGGCCCTCTCTTGGGCTTCCCTCTCCTGGGACATCCTCTTCCTTCGGGATCACCCCCTCGCCCACATTGCCCAAAGCTCCCTTCCTCCAAGACTCCTCCGCTCCACAACCATCCCCAAGCTCCACCCCCACCCCACCTCCCACCTCCTGTGCAGTGGTCCCCAGTCCTGCCCCCACATTCCTCCCGGGTCTCCCTCCTCGGGGTCCCCACCCTTGGCTGTCCTTCTGTCCTGTGTTCTCTCACCCATCACCACACCGACCCCCGCCCTTCACGTGCCCCAAGTCTCCCACCCTGGTTGCTGTTCTCATTAATGTCCCTAATCCGGGTTAATCGAGTCTCCTCTTTGCCGTGTTGTGACGTGTCTAACTTTTCTGCCCTGATCCTCGCCTCCTGCCCCTCCACCTCTACTTGTACACCTGTTTTTCTCTTCCCTCTTCTTTCTCTCCCTCCGCTTTTACCCTCGTTTCCTACTCTTCCTTGGTTCCATCTGTCTCCTTATCGGTCTGATTCTCTGTGGTTGTTCCTCTCTTCGTGTCGATGTCTTCTTCATCTCTGACTGTGTCACTGTTGTTCTGTGTTTGTCTCTGTCTCCTTCCTGTCTCTTTTTTTCCCTTTTTTCCTGCTCCCTCCTCCCATCCTGTTGGCTGCCCCAGTCATCAACCGCCAGAACGGTAATTCCCCAGCCCATTCCCCTTGCTGTGCTGCTGCACCCCTCCCTTCTAACCCGCAACCGCCCCCCTCTACCTGGGGGCTGAGGATCTGGGACATCCAGGGAGGGAGGAACCCTTCAGCGATTTATCCCGCCGGCATGAAGTCTTGAGATCAGGGGTCCAGAGACCAAGATTCGGGTCCCAGATTAGCCACTAACAATACCCGAGACTAAGAACAAGTCTCTTCCCTTCTATAAGCCTCAGTTTCCCCATGTGTAAAATAGAAGCTAGAGATGATGGGAAAGACCCCTTTCCAGCTGGATGTTCTCAGACTTCCAGACCCAGATTCGCAGTCCCGGGGTGGGGTAATCCCCACTCCCACCTACCCCGCTCTCTGCGCCCGCGACCCCAGATTGGTCAAGTCTGCGGTTCCCATACGCCAACCGGATTGGTTGTCCCCAGCATCCACTCTGATTGGTGTGCGTGCCTCCTCTGCGCCTGCTCTGGTTGGCCCATCCCTGTCTAGCCTCCCTTTCTCTCTTCCCTCCTCTAGAGCCCACGGGGACTGGCTTCTTTCAGATGCCCATTCTGATTGGCCCATGTTTACACGCCCCTCCCCCGCACCTCCCGGATTGGCTGATTTCAAGGCATCTGAGCCAATTGGCTGGCTTTGGATCCCACTCCCTGCCCAATCCCCTCCTGCTCAGAGCCTTTGCGTGAAATTGACTCCAATCCCCTTAATCCATTAACTCCGCCCTCCGTGGCCCTGGATGGGGGCTGAGGGAGATACCAGCTGCCTGAACTTCTGCTGGATAGGCAGACATTCCCAGACGGCACACAAGTGGTGACGTCAGAGGAACACAGATATTTAGAAAGACACTTGAGGCCCCAGCTTCATGACTCAGGACCCTTCAGGTCTTCATTTGCTGATGCCTCTGAAATCGGGACCCCCTGGTGTCATGGATGCCCGTGGCCCTCACAGTGTCTTTGAAGCGGTGGCTGCTCCTCCCTGCGCACCCGTGCTTTGTGCATGCGTGTGCAGTGTGCAAGGGCCGTGTGCATGTGTGCACTCTCCCCTGACACATCTGACACTTTCTGGGCCCTGCCCCCCCTCTTCCACCCAGGAGAGAAGGTCATGGCAGACGATGAGTTCACCCAAGATCTGTTCCGTTTTCTGCAATTGCTCTGCGAGGGGCACAATAATGGTGAGGAGGAGGGGCGGGTGGGAGAGTGGATGAAGAGGAGGCCAGGGTTTGGGGTCAGTCTAGAAGGGTTGCCTGAGTTAAACTCCAGGGCCCTCCCTCCTTATCAGAGGTGGCCTCACCACTCGCCCTGGCCCCGATTGTCCTCCATCCTTTATTTTCAGCCATTATCAAGCCCTGCCCACCCACCTTCCTAAATCGCTCTTGAATTTCTGGAATCTAGCCCCTTTGCTACACTTTCACCTCTTCTAGCCAGTCCAAATTCCCCAAAAGAAATCTGCCCCCAAACCTGCCTGCCCCCAGATCAGTTTGCCCAAATGAGCAATTAGCCGCATGACATTTTTCCACAGGCATTTTGCAGCAGCTGCCAGAGTTAAGTAGATGCAGTAGATTTCCATACTTTGGTTTTGTAGAGGGGGGGAAAATCACATGGCATTTAAAAATGCGTTTATTAGAATCACTTCTTAATTTCACTTCTAAAATACTCTGCCAAGGTGGAAGGCCTTACAGATCCTTTCCTAACTTAGAGTTTCCCCAACTTTTTTTCTGGTTCAGGCGGTTTAACCAGATCAAGGCTGACACAGCAAGCTAGTGAAACATACATAGCTCACAGCCTTAAAGGGACCATCAAACTTCTGTACAGCAAACTTTCTACCCAATGCCATTTCCTATAACAAATATGCAAGTCTCAGGGTTGTGGTTGTGATACTTAGCAGGTAATTGTGAAACCACAGACTGCCCAGAAACTAAGCTTCATGACAAGAATGGAAGCAATCATAAATCTAACTTCCATAGAACCTGCATCCCATTTGCTAATGTTCGTGAAGGTAACTCATATGTAAATTTCTTTAATCCACACTCTTCTCTGTTCAAACAAAGGATAAAGCAGGATCCATTGCTCTGCATTCTCAAAAGCTCTTATGTCCACAGCCAGTTTTTCTTCAAGGTTCATGAAATACCTTTGTGCCACGTGACTAGGACTTTCTTTAATCGTAACTAAGGTGGAATCAGTCTTTGGGGTTTTAATTTTTTTTTTTTCAACGTTTTTTAATTTATTTTTGGGACAGAGAGAGACAGAGCATGAACGGGGGAGGGGCAGAGAGAGGGAGACACAGAATCGGAAACAGGCTCCAGGCTCCGAGCCATCAGCCCAGAGCCTGACGCGGGGCTCGAACTCACGGACTGCGAGATCGTGACCTGGCTGAAGTCGGACGCTTAACCGACTGCGCCACCCAGGCGCCCCAGTCTTTGGGGTTTTAAATGAATTTTATTCCCTGGATCTATGATTATTTGGAAACGAGAAGGTGCTAAAGGGAGGAATTCCTCTCTCCTACCAAATTTACAAGCCAGTCCTCTGCATAAATTCGTGGATCCATTAACTAGCCCAATCAAATAAACATTTGAAATATCTTTCAAATCTCAGGTGCCTCGCATGTCTTGAGTATTTGGTGCCATTCGAAGTAGACAACAGGTTCTTCTCTTGTACATGTCTGAGACTATGTTCTTGGTTGACAGCTTTTTACGGGAGAGGGGAGCTGTATATGTGAACATTTAGGCATATAGCCCAGTTGAAATTAACACAAAGGAGTTAGAAAACATATACATTTGCTTCTAAAATATTGAATATTTGAGCATAATCTTCATCTACAGTGTGAAACCAGGCAAAATGGTTTATGAAATAGAAGTGATTATGATACAGCAATTATGAAATAGATGTCAGATGGACAGTAAAACTTTGGGGGGGAAAACCTTTCAAGGGCTGGTAAAGCCATCCTGTGCAATATGACATTGCCATGAACGTGCAAAGGACTTAGCTGAAGTTTGTTTTCATTGCCTTCACAATTTGATGAATTGATCATTTGGCAAATGGGTCTACAGAGGTGGTTCTCCAACTTAAGAGGGCCTCAGAATCACCTCGAGGCCTTGTTAAAATACAGATTTGAGGGCTCCGCCCCAGATTCTCTGATTTAGTAGTTCTGGGATGGAGTCTAGTAATTCTTGTCTCTGACAAGTTCCCAGGAGATGCTGAGGCTACCGGTCTGGGACCCACACTTTGAGAATCACTGCTCCAAAGTGCAGCCGTTAACCTCAGCACTCTTTAAGCCTCTTTAAGAACAGCTAATGTTTATTGAGCACTCGTACCAGATGGCTATCCTAATTTTTTTTTTTAATTTGGAAAAAGCATTTATTTATTTATTTTGAAAGAGAGAGGGGGGTGCCTGTGTGGCTCATTCGGTAAAGCGTCCAACTTCAGCTCAGGTCATGATCTCGCGGTTTGTGAGTTCCAGCCCCATGTTGGGCTCTGTGCTGACAACTCAGAGCCTGGAACCTGCTTCCGATTCTGTGTCCCTCTCTCGCTCTGCCCCAACCCCGCTCCTGCTCTTTCTCTCTCTCTCTCTCTCTTTCAAGAATAAATAAAACATTAAAAATTTTTAAAAGAGAGAGCGCAGTGTAAGTGGGGGGGGGGAGAGAGAGAGAGAGAGAGAGAGAGAGAGAGAGAGAGAGAATCCCAAGCAGGCTCCACGCTGTCAGCACAAAACCCGATGCGGGACTCCATCTCACAAACGGTGAGATCATGACCTGAGCCAAAATCAAGAGTCAGACGCTTAATTGACTGAGCCACCCGGGCACCACTGTCCTAAGTTTTTTATGTACGCCAAAGCATTAAAAATTCACAAGAGCTCCATAAAGTAGGGTGTGCTGTAACCACCATGTTACATATGGGGGAACTGAGGCACAGTCTGTGCCACACATAGGGATTCAATAACTTGCCTGAGGTCACACAGCTGGGAATTCATACAGCCCACTCCTACTTACCTTTCCTGCCTCAGTGGAGGTCCCTTCCCCCAAGGAGCCTTCCTTGATTACGTCGTCATCAGCTGAGTTAGGCATCTCCTCTGGGCGACTGCAGCCGCCTAGGTTTCCCACCTCACAACCCTGATCATTCTGCTCGGTATTCCCCACCACCACCACCCCTACGACCCGTGAACCCATGTTTATAATTATTATTATTACTAACTTCTCAACCGCAACCAAAATAGAGAGAATGGTCTAATAAATGGTACCCATCACTCAGCTGTAGCAGTTATCAGCTTTTTGCCATAGAAGAATGTTTTTCTTTTTTTTTTTTTTTTAATTTTTTTTTCAACATTTATTTATTTTTGGGACAGAGAGAGACAGAGCATGAACGGGGGAGGGGCAGAGAGAGAGGGAGACACAGAATCGGAAACAGGCTCCAGGCTCCGAGCCATCAGCCCAGAGCCTGACGCGGGGCTCAAACTCCCGGACCGCAAGATCGTGACCTGGCTGAAGTCGGACGCTTAACCGACTGCGCCACCCAGGCGCCCCGAAGAATGTTTTTCAAATAGTGGGAACCAATGCACCAGAGGGTTGTGAATCCGTGTATTTCAGAGGCTCTCATCTGAATTCCACGCTGATATGCCTGGGGAGCATATTTTTAAAATACACTAAAGCCCGGTGTTCATTCACCCTCAGAGACTGTAATTTAATTGGTCTAGGGTTGGGGTTTGAGCAGGGGGACTTTGAAAAGCCTCCAGGTGATTCTAACATGCAGCCAAGGTTGAGAGATTGAGGACTACGGATGTAGTGAGTTAAGATAATTTTTTAAAATATAATTTATTGGCAGGTTGGCTAACATACAGTGTATACAGTGTGCTCTTGGTTTGGGGGGCGGGGTAGATTCCCGTGATTCATCGCTTACGTACAACACCCTGTGCTCATCCCAAGAAGTGCCCTCCTCGGTGCCCATCACCCACTTTCCCTTCTCCCTCACCCTCCACCATCAACCTTCAGTTTGTTCTCTGTATTTAAGTCTCTCATGGTTTGCCTCCCTCTCTGTTTGAAACTATTTTTTCTCCTTATCGAGATCAGAATTCTTTTGTAGGTAACTAGACTAGCACAGGACAAAAAATACCAGAATACATAGCGCATGTGTGAGTATGTGAAACTTCTGTTTTGGGTATATGTGGATATAATTTCAGTTTAAACACATGTACTGGGTTTTAATGTAAAATGGTTCCCCTACTGTAAGTTGCAGTCAGAAAAGATTGAAAAATTACTACACAAGAATATAAACTTCACAAGGGCAGGGACTTTTTCTTTTACTGCTGTATTCCCAGGGCCCAGAACAGTGCCTGGCACATCATAAATGCTCGATAAACTTGTAGTACCGAAGAATAAGTGGCCAATCTCCATCTCACATTAGCAGATAGATAGTATGTGCTCAATAAATAGATATTGAGGGGAGCCTGGGTGGCTCAGGTCATGATCTCGTGGTCCGTGAGTTCGAGCCCTGCATCGGGCTCTGTGCTGACAGCTCAGAGCCTGGAGCCTGCTTCGGATTCTGTGTCTCCCTCTCTCTGCCCCTCCCCCACTCATGCTCTGTCTCTCTCTCTCTCTGTGTCAAAAATAAATAAACGTTAAAAATAAATAAATAGATATTGAGCAAATATACAAAAGAAATGGCAGATATTTATCTCTTCTGGCTTTGGCTAGGTGCTCAGTAAATATTTGTTGGATAAATGAATGAAAAAATAACCAATCTTCCATCTCCCCCATCACATAGTAGGTGTTCGATAAACATTTTTGGAAACGGAAGACTGAATCTCCATTTCCCCCTGCTATACTGTGGGTGCACAAGAAAGGTGTTTGCGGGGGGGGGGGGATGTATGAATAAATGACTGACCCTCCACCATATCTGGCATGCAGTTGGCCCTCAATAGTTATTTACATAAATGAATAAATGATCCTCATCTTCCTCTGACACACAGTAGGTACTTGATAAAGATTTATTAAATAAACTAACAAGAACAATTCTATGCCTCTGGCATACAAGAGGCACTCAATAAACCTATTGCATAAATGAATAAACGACCCACTGTCCCCCTCCCCTAGCACACGGCAGACTCTCAATGAACGAATGGCTTTTCATCTCCCCAGATTTCCAAAATTACCTACGGACACAGACAGGGAACACGACCACCATTAACATCATCATCTGCACGGTGGACTACCTCCTGCGGCTGCAGGTGAGGTTGTGAGGCCGTCCAGGTGTGACCTGGGTGGGGCGTTGTGGGGCCCCGGTTGGCCCCAGCACCCCTTCACACCCCGTCGGTCCCCCCAGGAGTCCATCAGCGACTTCTACTGGTACTACTCCGGCAAGGATGTCATTGAGGAGCAGGGCAAGAGGAACTTTTCCAAGGCCATGTCGGTCGCTAAACAGGTGTTCAACAGCCTCACCGAGTACATCCAGGTAGGACCCGCCCTCTGGGGCGGAGCGAGGCTCCCCCACCCCGTATCCCCGCACCCTGCGCCCTGCTTGGCGCTCACTGCAGCTCCTCTGCCCCCAGGGCCCCTGCACCGGGAACCAGCAGAGCCTGGCGCACAGCCGCCTCTGGGACGCCGTGGTGGGATTCCTGCACGTGTTTGCCCACATGATGATGAAGCTCGCTCAGGTTCGAGACCCTCTGTTGTTCTTCCTGCAGCTGTTCTCGGGCATCCCCGAAGCGGCTCACTTCCAACTCAGTTTCTCACCCAAGTCCCCCTGACATGTTCCAGAAGAGTTCCCTAGGGGTGGCCAAATCCATCTTCCTTCTGGATTGGCTCTCTGCATGACCCCGCCTCCTCCTCTGCCACCACCAATCGGCTGGTTTCCCATGCACACTTCCATTGGTTTGACGTTTGGGCCCCGCCCCCTTTGGCCCGGAGTTCCTCTATGATTGGTTGGTGTTCTTTTCTCGGGGTGAGGTCCTCTCAGACTCTGACCTCCCTGGGGATAGAAAGGGGGTGTCTTTCTAGAACAGGGACTGGGGCTGAAGGAGTGTTTTGCTTCTTTATTCTGCCTGCGGCAGATGACGCCCATCTCGGGCACCCATGATGTAAGGTCCCTGTCGAGTCCTTCTCCCATTTCTAGAATCCTGTGTACCCTTCCCCTATCACCCCTGCCCCTTTGCAGTCTGGTCAGTGCCTCATGCTCTGCTTCTGTCTGGTAAACATATTCGAGGCTGTACCATCCGCATCCTGAACGGCATAAATGTAACAGTGTTCCAGCAGATGGCAGTACTCTGTACGCCGTATTATAATTTCCCCGCAGGAAGCGTCTTGAGGAAGGGGAGCCTTTTTCTAGTTACTCAAAGGTGCCACAGGGGCTGGCAGAAATCCTGTCTGTTGTCACCTGACTTTTTGAAAGGAGCTGAACTTAGAAAGCAATTCCTTAGTTTCAGTGCGGTCGAAGTTGTGTTATTGGTGTCATCTTCAAAGTCTAGCGAGTACTGGTATTTTAGTCTAGAATTCCACATCCTGCAGTGCTGCTGCATTAGCCAAGGACTAGGGCTAGGTTGCATGGGCTGGGAATCCAATGCAAAGTGATGGCCTAATCGGGGTGGGGGTGTGGGAGGGATTTATCAGTTCACACCAGAGATCCAGGGCCTAGAGTGATGTCAGCTGAACTATCTGCCTTCTCTGGCTTCATTCTCAAGCAGGCTCTTCTCCGGACTGAAAAAAATGGTGCCCCAGACTTCTATCCACCCCCTCCCCCCAACAGCTCCAGAGGGAAGATAATCCCTCTTTTGTCGGAGCTCCCACTTGGGATTCTCTGTTTGGACCATTGGGTCACATGCTCATCCCAGAACCAATCACCGTGGCCAGGGGAGGGCTCTGATTGGCCAGATCTGGTCACATACCCACCTGTGAAACCAGCAAAGTGGGGTTAGCCCCACTTGCTCTGAGACTGGGATTGTTACCGGAAGCAGGGCGCTGCCTCGTGCATCACGGGCAGGCGCACACCACGGGCACCCACAGAGTTGGATTTTGAGATTCCGGAACGTTGGGAGTTCAGAGTCAGAATGCCGAGCTTTGGAACTGTGTTAGAATTAGAACTCTAGAAGGAGCATTCAGGTAGAGGAGCCTTACGTGCCTTTTATCCAGCATCCTTCCCCCTTCTCCATTGTATTAGGTAGAACCAGATGAAATGACCACTCGGTGGGTCAAAAATGCTCACATATTAGCAGTTTTATGTAGCTCAACAGAATACCTGTGGGGACTATGAGACAGAACTCTGACCATGTAGGAAGTTTCTGTAGGCACTACATGAGGCACTGCGACTAGGGAGGCAATGTGCCCCCACATTCTTCCCAAATTGTTCACCGAAAGGCATGTGGCTGAGTCCTCCAGCCTTTTTCCTGAACCCAGAGTCTCGCTTTTTCCATCACATAGTCACTCAACAAACATGGATCGAGCAGCCACCATAAACCAGGCACAGTGCTGAGCTCTCACCCCTTCCCAGCTGTGTCTCCCTACCCAGTACGTGCCCCTCTCTGTCTCTCTCAGCTCCAAGCTTCTCTCCCAGCCCTCCTTGTCCGCCAGCTCTTGCCCCCACATAGCACCCATTGGGCCTGCTTACCCCCCAAAGTGCCAACCCCACCCCCACAATCTTGTCTCTCTGCCCCTTCCCCTGCTTCCGAGGAACATGTGTGGAGTCGGGTCCCCTCGGAGGTAAGAGGGGGAGAAAAAGGGGTCTTAGGCCCCATGGGGTGGGTCAGGAGGGGCGGAAGCAGCTGGAGGTGGGGAGGCGTCTCTGCAGAGACCAGTTATCCCATGGTTGGGGTGTGGGGTCTCTAGGACTCGAGTCAGATCGAGCTGCTGAAGGAGCTGCTGGACCTACAGAAGGACATGGTGGTGATGTTGCTGTCGCTGCTAGAAGGTAAGTGCCCAGCGGGCGTGGGTAAGGGGAGGGCACAAAGATACAGACAAGCAGGGAATGGCCCTCGGAGACCCAGGAGACCCTAACCTCCAACTTCATCCCACATCGTGTCAGGGTCAATGGGTTGATGAAGGAGTCACAGCACCAAACTCAGTAAACCCTTACTGAGCACTTATTATATGCCAACTGTACACACGTTAGTTTTGTGAATTCCCGGGGAAATCTTAATAAGGTGGGTGGCGTGGGCACTCTTTAAAATGTTAGGGGCGCCTGGGTGGCGCAGTCGGTTAAGCGTCCGACTTCAGCCAGGTCACGATCTCGCGCTCCGTGAGTTCGAGCCCCGCATCGGGCTCTGGGCTGATGGCTCAGAGCCTGGAGCCTGTTTCAGATTCTGTGTCTCCCTCTCTCTCTGACCCTCCCCCGTTCATGCTCTGTCTCTGTCTGTCCCAAAAATAAATAAACATTGAAAAAAAAATT